ATCTTCTCGAATTTTTTCCAAACGCTTCGCAATTATTCATGTTTTATTTTTTTCGACTTTAGGCACCTTTCTGGAACCATTAAAGATATATGTATTGTGCTTATTTATAAGAACTATTTTAAAATCTTTTGGGATTAGTCCAAAGGTTTGCGATTTTCCGTGAGTTGCCGAAATTTTTCGTACACTGAGCGAAATAATGCGTAGTAAAAATGAATACTTAATATTTGATTATCCTTTAAAAATGTTCGAATTTAAAAATAATATTTTTATACAAAATTTATTACGCACGTATTTGACTGTTCACATCTGAGCATATATATGAGTGTACTCTGAGAGCGGTGACAACACACACATTCATACATTGTACATGTTTATCCGTACAAATCGCGTGCTGTGGTGTTGATGGATATTCAACATTTGAAAGCAAATTTATATGCCTGGGTGTAGCTGAGTGCGCAAAGATGCTTGCTACAGTTGTTGATATCCGGAGATGGTCGGGTTCGAATTCCACTGCAGGCAACATGCAAATTAATTTTTTTTTTTTAGTTTTTGTCTTGATTATTCACTTCACGGATGCTTTTTCAGTACGAACGCGGTCATTTTAATATGCGCGTAATTGAATTGAATATTAACCAATATACAGTACTTTCGTTGACGTTTATAGTAAGACCAATTACGTTTCTATTTGATTCTAATATTTTTTTCCCTCAGTGTAGTTGCGGGGACTTTTCAAATTCTATTTTGGCGAAAATGGATTTTGCAATTAAGTGTTTTCGGATAAATTTGGGCTTCTGATTTATAAAAAAAAAATATTCTCTTAGCCAGTATAGTCGTGGGTGTAGCTGTGATATGAGAACATTTAACTTAGTGCACTCAACAAGAAATCACCGCTCCAAAGCTCACCTGGTCTTTCAAATACTTTATCATGCCCATTAAATAGCTATTGTAACAAAATCTTGTTTAATATAAAATCAGTTACATTTGCCATTCTACGAATGACCGCCTAGAGGCGGGCTAAGGATTAGAGGGTTAAGAGCTTTCGGGTTTTGCTCGGGACGTTATGTTTTATTTTTCGGAATTCCGGTTACTTTTTTGAGACCTTCAATATTTTTTTTTCGTTTTTATTTATTGGGATGTTAGACGCGTTTGCAGTTTCCTCAATACATTTCGGTATTCTTTGTGTTTTCTTTTCTGGGGATGTTTTTTCGATAATTTACCAACTTTTGTGTTTATTTTTTGGGACCTTAGGAAGTAGCGGGAATTTCCCGGGATATTTCGGAGCTCTGCGTTATTTACTTGCAATTTTTGCGATTTTAGAGACTTTTTCGTGAAATTTCTCTATCCATTTTGTTAATTTTTGGGATCATTTAGTATTTTTCTGTTTTTTTCGTGTTGCATTTTTTGAGCTTTCTGGGGGCTTTTGATTCCTGTGAAGCTCTATCGTTTTTCCATAAGGTTTGGGACTATTCTCGAATTTAGGGATTTTCCCCTGGCTTTTCCTAGTACCTGTGTTTTGTTTTTTCGGAATTTTTAGTAGTTTGCGGAACCTCTCAAGACCTATCACTTTTTTTTATTTATTTTTAATCTTTTTAAGATTTCTAAGGAGCTTTCGTATTTTATTTTTCTGACTTTGCTAAGTTTTTTAGTCTAAAAACAATCTGAACGCTTTTTCCTCTTAAGAAATAACAAGAGAGCTAGCTTTTTCAGTATCTCGCGATCAAAGTATCAAAAGTCAAAAGATAACTAACCTTTTGTGTTTTTATTTATAACTCCTGAGTATTAACTGGACACACATTAAATAAACTTTTACAAAATAATCGTTTCTCTCTATCTTCTCTATAATAAAATAAGTAAATTGACGCTATTATGGCTGTAGACGTCGACGTCGATGTAATTTTTTCATCAAAAAATAGCCGTCGTAAGTCCAACTCCAGCTACGCTGACGATAGTATTTTTGAGGTAAGGTGTTCCTCGCAAAAATACTGTGGTTAGCATAAATGAAGTTGGACTTACGAAGGCTATATTTTGATGAAAAAATTGCATCGACGTCGACATCGGCAACCATAATAGGGCCGAATATTTTCATATATGTAAGTAAGCTTAAATACATATATATGTATTCGCATAAAGCAACATTATAACGATGATTGTTTCATGATTGAGTGTCATGAGATTTAGAGTCCATAGTTTTTTCTTCTAATACAAAAAAAAAAACAGAAATCCATAAAGTTTTATATATTTTTTCTAATTTATGCAGATGACATTCCTAACTCTAATCCATGCGAATACCCTATGGCATGCTTTGTTCAAACTAGCGCAGCAGTAGTTACCTTTTATTCACTTATTCGAAAAAAAAAATAATTCGAACCACTTTTTCTCTATAAACAATTTTATCATCAGCCTGTCCCTAACGAACTGCCAATGGCTATCATGCATGACGTATGAGTGACAAATACGCACATATCCAATAACACTTATCACAATAAAGTGCAAAGTGAATCAAATTGCTATCAAATCGAAAGCTACAAAATGCAGAAAAACTTCTTAAACTGATATGTTGCAGTCGACAAAAAGTCAGCTTTGCAACACATTGCCTGCACTAAGTATACGTACATAGATACCTAAGTAGATGCATAGGTACATACCTATGTACAAATTTCACTCTATAAATAAATGTTTTCTCAAACGAGCACAAACTCACTTTATATGGAAATTTTTCTTGGTGATTTTGTGATGAGTTTTTGAATTGAATTGCATTTGAATTTGCTGCTTGAAAAATCAAAAATGAATGTTGTGTCTAAGAATTGGGTAAATAGCAAAAATGAAAAGTAGAAAAGGAGAGCTAAAAGAGAGGCGCCTCTAATATGCAGAGCTTGGAAAATGTGGCATTTAACGTTTTTTCTTCATCTAAGTCGCTTTACTAAAATGACAATGGAATTGCTGGCAGAATGTGCACAAACAACAATAAAATACCAAAAATAGAAAATATGAACCCTCCAGCACAATTCTGCACACACACACTGCATGTGTATATGTATGTATGTATGTATGTGCGCAGATGCATATCAGCCAATAGAGATTTGTTAAAGCAGCTGTGAGCATACAAGTTGCCTGCAGCATGTTGGCCATTGCATTAGAAACGAAGGGAAGGGAGGGGGCCGAAATGGCAGTGGCAACAACAAATACTTATAACTATGATAAGAACCAAAGATGCAGTTTGCAGCTGCAAGCACAGTGGTAAAAGCCAAGAAGTCAGCAAAAGCAAATACACAGCTGTGGCTGGTAAACAACAGCAAAGACGGACACACACACACGCAGGCACATACTGATGCGATTTTCCAATACGTTTTTTTCCATTTTTTTTTTTTTTCAATGTACGTCAAATGTTGCACTGCTTTTGCACGCATAGAGCCACACTACGCGATGTTGAGTAAAAACGAAGTCAACAGCTGAAACAAAAACAACATAAGGGGAATGCAACATCATCAATGTGCAACATTTGTTGACAATTGAATTCGAATTTGGTTTTCTGCAAATTTACGAACGTTTTACTCTTTTCCCTCTTTCCCTACTCTAGCTGGCATCATTGCTTCTTGATTGTCTGCATTTCGACTGCTAGCATTTCTCTAACGATTTGTTTTTCTTATAAAAATTTTGGACGGGCTCACATGGAATATATGTAGTGCAACAACAGCTGCTCGCCGCAGACAACATAAAAATTTGTGATATGCAGTGGCAGCTGAAAATCTGAAAGGCATTGCGAGCAGTGGTAGTACTTAGCGTTTGGATGAAAATGTGGGAGGAGAGGTAGATGTGCTCGAGTATTGAACGGTGCAGCAGGCAGCTTTGTAAAAAAAAGATAAAAGCCAGAGGAGCTCTGATGAAAGTAAAGTTGAAATTGATAACCTTCGGCCTTACATGGGTATAGCTAGGGAGAAGTTAAAAGGAGGGGAAAAATACAATGGATATGAAGAAAAATAGGGCAATGATAAAAAGTACTTGCAAATAGTATGACTATATGACAAAGTGGAGCAAATGTAGCAGCATACACATAAATGTACATATGCTATACAATAGGGTGTTCCAGAACTGAAGAATATAGAAAATAAGAAGACCCGAAATATGTTACTAAAAATAAATATTTTTAATCGAGTAAAAATATTGCCCTTCGGAAATTTAAAAAAAAATTAATTTCGATACATATTTAACTTTAATTCGATGCATATTCAACTTTAAAACAATTTTTTCATAATCTCTTCTTTACATACTAAAATTAGGTTTTTTTATTTGTTCGTGAAAAACATCGCACACGGTTTGTAAAAATAGTAAGTAAAATTTTAAAGTTAAATTTGCATATAGGTCTATTGCTGGAAGACCTCTAAAGGGAAAAACTGGTATTCGTTAAAAAATATTTGTTTTTTTTTGCGATTTTATAGCAATTTTACGAAAAGTTTATTTTCCCCATATAAAATATATGGCACACGTCAAAGCCCCGGCGGCATGATTAAATATTTACCGATTTCAAATTAACAAAATATGAGCCTCGTTTTTCCCCATTTTCTATGATCCTGGTGGTGGCAGCAAGAAAGAAAGAATTAAGTTTCATGTGCTGAGTGAATCTCGTTGCCATATTGGGATATTAAATCCATCTATTTACATTACCTATTTTTTTTTTACACATATATATTTTGATGAAGTTGACTGCAAATTAACTAGCTGGCAAAAAAGTGACAAAACCTCTGCATAATTTGAATGTTCTCTCAACGGCAAAATTACAGTCCGCTTTATAAATGCTGAAAACTTTCAACTTTGCTGTTGCCTTATGTCCTTTCACTGATAAATGTCAACATAAACTTAACTTCGTTTGCTATAAACTTTCTACTAAAAAATATTCTTTCGTTCCCGGTATACACATATTTTTAAATTATTAATTTTGTCAATATATTTTGAAATGTTTTTCACGTAGTAAATTTATTATTGAGATTAATTTTTATTTACAGGTCTTCAAGTATGCAGTAATGACATTTTGCCATTTGGATTTCTTCAAGAATATTGTGGCGAAAACGCAATTGTGTTGTAAACATATTCGAGAGATCAAAAAACCTTTAAAATGTTTGGAATTTTTTAACTTATAACTAACATAAATTTTTTAAGGCTAAATAAGAATTTTGCTTTAAGTAAACATTTATAAAGTTTTTTTAGTGAAACAATTTAGATATCTGACTTTAGAATTTTTCGCTTTAAATTTAAAAAGCTTTAAATTTGTTGTCTTATATTAATATTTTTGTGACTATTTCTTAAAGAGCAAACTAATTTTTTTTGCATAGTTCGTATGAACTTGGCATTTTGGTGTTTAGACCAATGGCGAAATTATCAATAGAACTGCTCATTATTATTAAGTTTGAATACATTTACCTAAATAACAGACAATAAGCTCTTCCTTAGTAGTTCATTGGCGACCTCCTTTGCTTTGATCTCGCAGGTATCCTGGCAGCTTGCAGAGTGTTACCGTGTTTCTCGCTGCCAGGAGGTGAAAGGGTCAAAGTTCTCCTTCACGTGGTCATTAATCTATTGAATACTGGCCTGATGGCCTCCTAGCTCTCTGAAAAGATAACAACAGTAAGTATAAACGCGGCTCCTTTAAAGCCAATTTCCAATTTTTATCTGGCGCAAGTCAAGATTACTGACAACTTGGGGTGAAAGATTACTGGCAACTTGCCCATCTGCCCTTAACATCCATTCTTAACCTCTCTATGTACAAGGAATCGAGGTGAGGGATCCAATCTATAGGTTTGATCTGAAGTTGTTTACCGAACCAGCAGTGGGACTCTGAAAATCGATGTCGCTAATTTGGATCGCTAAAAATCCCTAAAAGAAAATCCGGCACTCTTAACTACCTGCAAACTTTTGAAATTCCACAAAAAAAACATTTTTTTGTAGATATACATATGGGGTATTCCATCGTCACGGGTGGGACATTTGTACAGC